ATGGTAAGTGAAAAAGCCACCCAGTAAGAAAACCAGAAGATGGAGCCCTTCTTACAGAGCCTCTGTCAGTTTAAAGTTGATCTGTCCTATTTAGGAATAATCTCCTCTCAGCTTTTCCTTCTGATACCTGTGGTGATTTCAAATTAGGGTGAATCAAGGTCATTCAGAAACCTTACACTACTCGTCCAGGGACCGGTGAGGTGGAACTGAAGAGAGGGGAAAGGTCCAGGTTATTTTGAGGAATCTTGGGGCTGAAAGATTCAGAGCTGCTTAGAGCCGCATAATTTCCCTGGAGAAACTTCTGGCAAGTTTGCACTATGGGTAACACCAAATAGCTACGGCAATGTGGCTCATCTTCATGGCCAAGAAGAAATGTGCTTAACAGGAGATAAACTCAGTGCCAGAATCATCCACAGTGGAACAACAACAAAAAAAAAATCAAAATGTGTGGTAAATGACTTTGTGTATAACTGCTCATGTTGAAAATAAAGAAAAAAAACTTCAGAAAAGGAAGTAAAAAGTTATTATTAACAATAATAGTGAATAAGAGCTTTTAAATGATCAATTGCAGAACTTCACAGATTTAGTGCAGAATCTTGCACTTGGAGATACTTGAGGAAAGTGTATGTGTTTATATTCCAATTTATAAAAAAAATCTGTTTTTATCATACAGGTTAAACTTCAACAAATGCAAACTATTGGGTTCAATGATGAACTCATTCCTTCCAAGCTTTCCTCATCCTTTTTAGACACTGATGGCTGTCACCACACTTTGATTCCAGAACATTGTGAAAGTTCTGTGGAAACGGCATAGGCTTTGAAGTCACACAGACTTGCATTCAAATGCTAGCTCCTTGATTTACTTGATGTATGACCTGGGATCAATTACTCAGCATCTAGCAACCTCAGATTATCAGCTAAAATCACTAGTGGGCAATTAGAATATCCACTTCTCAGAGAAGTTGGGAGTGCCAAATCAGAAAATATCATTCAAACCACATACCTCAGTTTCTTTCAGATAGTAAGATACAATAAATATTTGCTTCATTAATACTTTATGGTGGGGCAGATACCCTAGAAACAGTGGAAGTAGCCTGTGTGTTCTTGGTTAGAATAAGTATCCAGAACATTCATCTGTTACTAGACTCTATGATCCCTTTTGTTGTAACTCAAAGAGCAGAGTACTACCAAGACAAATGAACTTCCTTAATGGCTATTACCATAGTTACTCTCTATTTTTATCTTACAAAGTGATACCAAAGCAGAGAGGGGAAGTGCTGGGAAGGGAAGGGTGTGGTCCCTTTAAATGACATGGAAGTGAGGAAGGGCATGGTCCCTGTCTAGGGCTCCACCCTAGGGCCTGTGCCTAGGGACCTAGGTGAAGACAGACATTTTTGTTTTTCTGCCCAAATGTTGCATTTCCCAAGACCATCCTGGCCACGCCCACATCCTATGCCTATGAAAACCCTGAGACTCTAGCAGGCAGAGACACAAGTGGCTGGACACTGAGAGGAACATATTGGCAGAAGAAGACACAAGTGGCTGGACATTGAGAATATGTCGAGAGGAGCATGCTGGTGGAAAAGCACAGGACAGATGCTGGCACACAGGCAGGCAATCCACTGGTGGAATGAGGCAAAATTTGGCCAGGGCAGTTGGAGGAGAACCCTGGCTGCTGAGCAGCCTGATCCACTCCATCTTCTTCTGGCTTCCCCCATCTGCTGAGAGCCACGTCCACTCAATAAAACCTTGAACTTATTCTCCAATCCCAGGTGTGATATGATTCTTCTGAACACCAAGGCAAGAATCCAGGATGCAGAAAGCCCTCTGTCCTAGTGACAATGTAGAGGGTCTAACTGAGCTGGTTAACACAAGCTGCCTATGGACCACTGAACTAAGAGAGCACCCTGTAACCCATGCCCACTGGGGCTTCAAGTGTAAACATTTACCTCTAGACACTGTCGTGGCATCAGAGCCCCACAACCTGCCCGTCTGTATGTTCCCTTAGAGGTTCGAGCAGTGGAGCACAGAAAAAGCGAGACACACCCCCATTGCATGGCCCATGAGGGGTACAAGGGAAATTTTCTCGTTTCAAAAGGACCTTTCACGTAGTAGAAAGTCAATAAATATTTGTAGAATGAATTAATTAAAAACTAATGAGCATAAATCCTTAATTAATAAGGTATCATTATTGTATTTCCCTGTACCCCACAGAGGAGGGGGGTAAAACCAACTAATGAGAGCTGAAATTGGAATAGGAGGGAATTGAATTGTGCATGAGCATGTACGTTTAATTCCACAGATGTATTCTGGGATAAAGACTAAATAGAATACACGTTTCTTATTTATTCTTCATCTATACCTTCAATCCTAGATTATCAGATTCCTCAGAAGGATGACTCTTAGGATATTCCACCATTATATAAAAACAATTGCACATATTTATTGGTACAGGAGGACATTGTCAAGGGGAGTGTAGGGGAAGGACATTTCCATAGATACTCAGACATCTGAGTTCTTGTCTGTCAGCTAGCTATGTGAACTTGGGCAAGCCGGTTCCCTTTTCTGAGCCAGTTTCTGGATATAATTAAAAGATTGGATTTGACAGTCTATATAATATTTGCCAGCTCTAAAATACTTTTAATTATGTGGGTAGGAATTTGGTTATGACCCTTTGGACATAGTCATGAATACCTCTGTTTTAGTACTTGAAAACATACAGCTGATGATCTATCTATATATTTGTGTGTTTCACTAGACCATGAACTTCTTCAGGCTGTGACTTAGTACCTAGAACAGAGAGTTTAAAAATTAACTGAAAATTATTAATTCTACTGCTCAGATATATTAATAGAGTTCACAAGTTTGAATTGTGATTTAGTCTATATTTAAAAAAAGAAACGAGAACTAATGCCAATGACAATTTTCAAATGGTCTTAGATTCTACAACTTTAAGTGCACTTCAGGTAAATGTGGTGACCCAGAGGGTTAAAGTGAAGTGATTAAAAATGACTTAGTCTGCCGTTTTTCAAAGGGCATAGGTGTACACTCCTATAAGCCATTCCTTTCTTCCTCACATTGGGTGATGAGCAGGACTTGTGCCTCAGACTTTGAACTTGTGCTTCAGTTAACATTTTTATCTGTGGCTTGACTGAAGATACAGTGGACAGCTCATTGCATGCACAGGTGACAGAGATCTGGAAGGAAGAACACTTATGGTTTCACACTGAATCATAATCCAAAAAGAATTTAACAAGTTTACTATGATAAGACAATTTGTCTCATAAAATACAGTGAACATAGAAGAACATTCTACCCAGATTTCTAAAAAAACCAAATGTGTTACACAGGTTCAGGGCTTAGTGATTACAAATCTAAAGTATCTTAAGGTTTTTTAAATAATTATAGTGGTAATTATCACAATAACAGCCATCATTTGTTGAAAATAGTAGATCTCCCTTATCTACGTTTCTCCTTTTTGTGGTTTTAGTTACCTGAGGTCAACTGCAGTCCAAAAACAATAAATGAAAAATTCCAGAAATCTACAGTTTGTAAGTCTTAGATTGTAAGCCATTCTAAGCAGCATGATGAAATCTCCCACTGTCCTGCTCCTTCCCACCTTGGATACAAATCATCCCTTTGTTCAGCATTTCCATTATCATGTATGCCACCCATCCATCCATTAGTCAACTACATTGTCTGTTCCTGACATCCAACTATTGACATCTACATGGGTTGAGGACCCAGAAGCACCTCAAGCAGACAATTTTCCTTCTGATGTATTGTCAGAAGGTCAATAGTAGCCTGTAGCTACGTCACAGTGCCTGTGTCATTCATCTCACTTCAACTTAACACATAGGCACAAAAAGTGTGAGCATGATATTTAGAGAAAGACCAATTTTACATAACTTTTATAAAAGTATATTATTATAGTTGTTTTATTTTATTACTATGTTAATCTCTCACTGTGCCTAGTTTACATATTAAATGTTATCATTGGCATGTATGTATAGGAATAAACGTAGCATATATAGTATTCTGTACTATCCATGGTTTCAAGCATCCACTGAGAATCTTGCAGTGCATCCCACATGAATAAGTGGGGATGACTGTATTTACTCTATGCCAGGAACTGTATTAGATGTTACACCTCTGAGTTTCAAGGTCATCATCTTTTCAGTGTCCTGTGTTGAAAGTTAATTTAAGACAACCGCTGATAGGACTCCTACAATGTTACGTGATTTTAAAAAGAATTAAGATAGCTAGGCAGGCGGAATCCCATGTTTTGTGCTAGTGAAACTTGGTTGAAATTGTATTCAGATTTAGATTCCTTAATTTCATATATATAGTGTATGCTCCAGGGGAAAGTGAGGGACCTAATAACCTTATTTCCCAAGGATTACCTGGGGAAAAAGTGAATAATAATCTGGATTAGTAGAGAAGGGGAATGATAGCTGTTATTAGAAACTGAAAAGGCTATCCTGTGACTGTTGTATTAGGCCTATTTTATCTAGATCCTGAAGAAAGAAGCAGGGTGTAGAATGAAAGGAACATAAATGGATTTTGGTTTAACAGAGGAAAAAAAAATACTAATAGTGAGTTCTATCCTAATACTGCCAAATGAATGAGAGTCCCACTGTTAACGGTGTGCGGGGTTAAGTTGGACATTCACTGATGGAAAAGGAAGACTGGAACTGATGATTGAAGAGTTGCTTCAAGGTCAGTTTCAAAATAGTAATTGTATTATTCTCTGATTATATATTGATAGAGTCTGCTTTAGAGTTTGCAATCAAAACCTTTTCTGATTTAGCGGAAGCTACTCGATTAAAAATCTGCTGGATGTTTTATAAATACTTGTATAATTCCTGCCCTCTAAGATAGTATAATGAAGATATTTCTGCAAGTTTCTTGCTTTCAGATCTTTTACTTATCATAAAAATTCTGCAAGTTTCTTGCTTTCAATCCTTTCACTTATCATAAAAATTCTTTCTTTTTTAATTTGATTTTTTTAATGCTTTGTGAATTTTGCACGTCATCCTTGTGCAGGGGCCATGCCAATCTTCTCTGTATCATTCCAATTTTAGTATATGTGTTGCCAAAGGAAGCACTATTTCTCATGGTGAGTCTAAGACATAGGCTTTCCGTTTTTGCATTACTAGATGGTGAAACTGACCCATAGAAGTTAAGCAATATATCTAACATCATACTGTTAATTCGCAGTAGTACTGTGATACAAACATAACTGATTAACAATTCTAAACAAAGCATCCTCCTCCACATTTTCATGAAGATGCACAAATTAGAGTAATTTTAAAAAGACCTTCAGTTTTGTAGTTTTTTTTTTGGTAATAAAAGTCCATTTCTTTTGACTTTTATGATAAAAAAGGCATGTCATGAGAAATTTTAAAAATATAGTAATATTTAAAATAATAAAAAGCAGAATAATATCCTCTATAACTCTACCATCTGGAAAATTACTTCAACTATTATAGTGCATAATTTTTGAGGTTTTTCATACATGTATTTCATGAAATATATAAATATATAATCAAAAATAAATATTACATATAAATATACATACATGCAAATATATAGATACATAATTTTGAAGATAAGTAGGACCACCTGCTCTGTGTTATTCTTTGCTTTTTATGGGAAATGCAAGTTTGCAAGCATATTCTAATATCACTAAACATTTTTCTTTTTAAGATATTGTTCTCACTGTACTGCATGCAAGTACATTTTTATTTTCTCAATATCCACTGAATATTGTATTTTTGAACAGTGTAAGGAAGTTTTTTAAATTGTGTATATGTAACATTAGCCAAAATTATTTAAAGTCAATAAATTTTTATTCAAGCAATTCTATGTTGTGATGAATATTTTATTTTATCAAGCAGTTTTAGGTGCTGTAGTTGGTTGTTCATGATGCAAGAAGGCCCTGAGACTATTCTGTAAAACATACATATTCTTTAATTTTCTTTTGTAAAAATGTTTTTGTCTGTTTGTTTTAAATTTTAATAGCTTTAGGGGCACAAGTGGCTCTTGGTTACAGTGGATACGTTGTACAATGGTGAAGTCTAGGCTTTTAATGTACCTGTCACTGGAGTAGTACACATTGTATCCAACAGGAATTTTTTCATCCCTCACCCCCATCCAACTCTCCCCTCTTCTGGGTCTCAGTGTCCCTTGTACCACTCTGTGTGCCTTTGTGTACTTATAGCTTAGCTCCCACTTATAAGTGAGAGGAAGTGATATTTGTTTTTCCATTCCTAAGTTACTTTACTTACAATAATGAACTCCACTTCCATCCAAGTTGCTGCAAAACATATTATTTCATTAATTTTTATGTATTTAGTAGTATTCCGTGGTATGTATATATATGGTATATGGCACATGGAGTATGTACCATGTACTTGCATGCAGTGTGGTTAGAGCAATAATAAACAAATATTTAGTGATATTAGACTATACTAAATGAGGTATATATACCTTATTTTCTTTATCCACTCATCAATTGATGAGTGCTTTGGTTGATTCCATATCTTTGCTATTGTGAATTGTTCTGTGATGTATGCACACATACTGGTATTCTTTTTACGTAATGAGTTATTTTCCTTTGTATAGATACTCAGTAGTGAGATTGCAGGACAACATAGTAGATGTACTTTTAGTTCTTTGAAAAGTATTCCTGCTGTTTTCCAGAGAGGATGCACTGATTCACATTCCCAGCAATAGTGTATTCTCTTTTCACCACATCTGTGCCAACATCTATTATTTTTTGGCTCTTTAATAAAGGCCATTCTAGGTATGATAAGATGGTGTCTCATTGCAGTTTTAATTTGCATTTCCCTGATATAATATCACTAAATTATTTTTCTAAAGCATGAACTTTATTTGCTTCAGCCTAAAGATAGCCTAAAACATAAAAATCCATTTTTATTGACATGCTAGTAGAATTATTTCCCTGAAATACTGAGATTTGTGGTCAGTCACTTTAAAGAGGTGAAAGGAATGTTTTGTTTCATCTGCCCTCAGGACTGAAGACAGATTAGGAGTAACTGAAAGCAGCCACTTTCTATTATTTTTTGGCTCTTTAATAAAGGCCATTCTAGATATGATAAGATGGTGTCTCATTGCAGTTTTAATTTGCATTTCCCTGATACAATATCACTAAACTATTTTTCTAAAGCATGAACTTTATTTGCTTCAGCCTAAAGATAGCCTAAAACATAAAAATCCGTTTTTATTGACATGCTAGTAGAATTATTTCCCTGAAATACTGAGATTTGTGGTCAGTCACTTTAAAGAGGTGAAAGGAATGTTTTGTTTCATCTGCCCTCAGGACTGAAGACAGATTAGGAGTAACTGAAAGCAGCCGCTGGTTTCCCATCACACTCATGCCTGCTTGATCTAGCCCCTATCCAACACTAACCTCAGTCACCTAGTCCTCTGTTAGCACTTTGGCCTCATTCTCTCTCTTGAGCATGCCACGTGTATTCCAGGCCTAGATCTGAGCACATGGCATTCACATGGCTTAAAAAGCTTTTCCTAAATATTCATTTGTATCTCTGTTTCAACATCACCTCCTGAAAGAGGTCTTCCTGACTCCCTTAGCCCCAGAAACCCTGCCCTCCCTTTCCTCTTTTCCATCACCTACCTTCACTCTGCTTTATGTTTCTGTATACCACTTCATTAGCTACAATCATATCATGTAAGTATTTGTTTCTTGGTATTTTCCTTCTCATTTATTAAATATAGTGGAATGACAGTGCTTCTGTTTAATCAGTACCAACCTAGAATAGTGCTTGGCATAGAGTGAGTACCCTACATATGCTTATTAATGAATGAGGGAGCAGCTTGAAAGGCATGCCTGGGAAAAAGATTCCATTTTATTTTTTACTAAGTTGGGAAGTCAGGGAGGGTGTTATGCTGTTTCCTCATCTGTCTTTGTCGCTGATCTAAGAGAGATTATTTAAGAGGCCTGAACCTGAACATACAGGTGGTTTATTCTTTGATACTGGAGTTTTTGTGGGAAGAACAAAAACCAGAAGTTGTCCTGAAGGAAGGCTAGGCAGAAAAGACCAGCTTGTCAATATGGTTGGGCTAGACAGAATGGGAGGATGAGACGGAGTCAAACGGGATTTTTTTTTTAAATGAAAAGAGTCATTTCTCAGTGGCAGCTGGTAGATAAATAAACCTTGGGAAACTCACAAGGCCAAGTACAGGTACTGATATTGCCTTTCTATATTCATGACTGAAAAGTACGTATATTTAAAGGGCCCAAAATAAGTGGAATGCTGTTATTTTTATCAGAAGAGTAATGATAAGCTCATTAATTGTCTATGTGGACAGGTGATACAAGCCTCAGAAGTATTCTTTTGGCTTGCATTTTTAAGATCCCATAAAAGAAAATGCAATCAAATTGTGATTTTTTTTTGAGAAGGGAGTTATCCATCAGCATTAGAGTCTTGATAAGGCTATATAGGTTTCCTAAGAAAGACACTTCTTCAAAGGTGATAACATAGTTATCTCTCTGTCATGCAGTGTAATTGATAGCACTATTCAAAATTAATAGACTTTGGTGTGTAGTAAATTAATGCACAGCATGCTCAGAGCAGAAAGCTTACTACTTCTGGGATTTTTAACCCACATCTAGAATTCGAGTAACATGAAAAGTGAGGGATGGGCGAGAGCTCATGTCTGAGGATACGGCAAAGACCGACAAGTTTTACAACATGATAGTGGTCATAAAATCAGACTTAACAACCCCACAGTCCTGCAAGTGAGACAGAAAGGTGTTCACAGGAAACCTGTGCTTCTGATACACATCATCCCTCCTATTTATTTTATTACCATGAGCTTACAGTTCCCATTGGTGGCTCTGCCTGAGCTCTTAGAAATATGATAACATAGGAGCACTTAAGAAATATTACATTAATGGGGGATTTCTATTAGTCTTCTGTAACCTGCATTAATATTGGAACATTTTAATAGACACCATCATAATGAAAACAAACCTACTAGCATATGTAGTCAAAAGGAATCATCTTTTTTGAGCTAGAATGGGGAGGAAATTAGAGTAAAACAAAAAGAATCAAATCAGGAAAAAGCATAAAAATGAATGAAAATAGGGCCCAGACAGGCTGACACTCTTAGAGAAAATAATGTAGAAGCAGCAGTTTATCTTGTTTCTTGTGGGAACTAGACTGGAAAGTTGGGGGGAGGTGCCCATCTATGATGCCACAGAAGAGTTCACCAGAGAGGTAAAATTGAGTTTTTTCCTTATTCTCAATTTTCTAGCAGATAGATCAAGGACTTTGGAGGCATAGAAATCTTGAGTAAGATTATGGCCCTTTTGTTTGTTTTATGTTAATCCATACAATAAAGGCAATCAGATAAATTTTTAGGGTCATGATGAAGAAGAAAACAGATTAGACATGTTAAGGACCAAGCACAATACTTGGAACAGGGCTGTCATTTTTGATGTACAGGTTGTGCCCTCCACAGTCACTAAAGAGTGCCATCTGCATCTGTAGGACAAATTGTAAGCACTCTCCCATGGCATACCCATACTTTTCATCCTCATTGAAGACCATCTCCCAAGGTGTCTACTTTGAGAGTGTAAAATCAAGATGATCTGCCATTACCTTCTCGGACACATTCTAATGATAGCAGTGATGAGAAAGACAGGACAGGGAAGACTTCTGAGTCAATGGCATGTATCATTCTCTCCATCTAAAATATGGCCCTTCCCTCTTATAGTCAGACTTTTTGTGCCTTTTTGGGAAGTGTTCCCTGATGCTTTACATGTCTTTTCTTTTTTTTAATCTCAAACTACATAAGATCCCTCTCTACCAGGTTCCTGTGACCCTCTGCATTGATGTCATAGGCTAACTTTCTCAGTGTACATTCCACATTGTATCATAAGTGTTCTTTTTTATTATTCTATCACAACGCTGTGAACTTTGAACTTCTTACTTGTCCCTGTATGTTTAGTCCCTGATTCAATGTCTGGCACAGTTATTGCTCAGCAGGTGCTTGACGAAAATTTATCAGAAAGTGTGGCGTCCTCTCGTTCTCTGAGCTTTCACTGGGAGCTACAATC